CCTTTCCTTTCCTTTCCTTTCCTTTCTTCCCCCTCCCTTTCCCTTTCCCTTTTCTCTTCTCTTCTTTCTCTTTCTCTTCTTTTCTCTAAATGGCAATTGTTTGAGACAGGCTAGCACCAAACTGGGTCTCTTTCCTTGTTGGACTCAGAAGGATTAGAATGGGGACTTTCTCACTATGTGGTTCAGTGTTATTTAATGCCATATCAATCAATGTTCCAACCAAAATCATGCCCTATAGCATTTGAATTCCACACTTTGGAGAAAACTGAGTTACAGCCTTTCCCCCCACTCTTCTGGAAAGTTTTAGTTATGTGTCCATATGCTTTTGTGTCATCTGACCTGGATAACATATGAGGTCCGTTATCACCCTGGTGTTTATGACCCTGCCTGATTAGGTTGGCTTTTTGACAAGGGTCAGAAATGTGTCTGTTTGGGGGCAGCCTATGATGACAGTTAAGAATGATGCAGGTGTGGGGCGCCTGGGTGGCTCAGTAGGTTAAGCATCTGCCTTCAGCTCAGATCATGATCTCAGGGTCCTGGGATTGATTCCCCATGTTGGCTCCACACTCAGCGGGAAGTCTGCTTCTCCCTCTCCCTCTGCCCCTCCCCTCACTCGTTCTCTCTTTCTAATAAATAATTTTAAAAAAAGATGATGCAGGCATAAATAAAGGAGCATTTGTCCCTTTAAAAAGAGTTGAAAGAATCTTTGAGCTGGTTCGTTGGGTTCTTCTAAGTGATGATGTGCAGAATCACAGCTGGGACTGCTCAGGCTGAGCTCTGCAGCCGAGGCTCCTGGCTGGTTGTTAGTGAGTCCTGGGTCTTATGGAGTCACCCTGTGTGAGCCCACGAGCGTCTGTCCCCATGACGGAATGATAATGAGTCCCATGAGTGAGAGTAAGCATGGTCAGAGAGGTCAAGCCCTCGTGTATGAATGCCTTCGGCAACTTCTGAGGAGCCCTCCAGTGTCACTTTTCAAAACCAGACACAACCTCAGTTCTTTTGCAAGATTTCCAATTTTACTTTGCAGTCCCTTCCTATTGCATATTATTCAGACTGTCCAGCCATACCAAAAAAGCTTACCCCAAAATATCCGTGGTTTAACACCCAGAGGTTTAATTTGTCCATCACAGTATCTGTCCAAAGTGGGAGGCTTTGATGAATTGTGGCTGCACCATGCCAGCCACTTCGTAGGGGAGGGATGTGGGAGAACTCACATCTGCTCTTCAGCGCGGAAATGACGTGCGCCAGGCTTGCTTGCAGCCCATTGCCCAGAATGAGTCACAAGGCTCCACCCTCACTGCAGGGGAGGCTGGGAAATGCCGTCCTCCCAGGCCCTGGGAGAGGGAAATGAACCAGCTGCTGCAGGCCATTCACTGTGTCTTCATTTTGTGGTTAGATGTTGTTCAAATAGGGGTAGATGTCAAGAGAAGGGGTGTTTGGGGATTAATTTGACAAATGGTCATATCATTAGGAAATAGTTTCATGTTGGGATTGATTTTGCTTTGTTAGGCACCATTGCTGGGATACTGAATACTAGGACTGAGCTCCCTGCCTCCCCCCCCCCCCCCCCCCCCGCCGGGCTGTGAGCCCCCCAGGGCATGGCCACCATTGCCTGGTGGGTGGGGGCTCGGGAGCAGCCTTTTAGGACATACAGAGCCGCTCCTTCCTGCCCTGGCGCCCGCATGCAGCGGGCCGCTCGGAAGAGGGGCAATGCTTTTCTGACTTCGGGATTTGAATTGGTCCTCACCTGTCCTCCACAAGGAATATTTGGCATCTGGATGCCACAAGGAGCATCTCCTCGCACCAGATTTTGTCTGGTAAAATCTCTCCAGGGGAGGAATGATGAGAAGAGCAGTTTTCGATTTTCTTTTTTTTTTTTAAGATTTTATTTATTTAGTGAGAGAGAGAGTGCAAGTGTAGGGAGGGGCAGAGGGAGAGAGAGAGAATCCCAAGCAGACTCCCTGCTGGGTGCGGAGCCTGACTGAGGGTGAGACCATGACCTGAGCAGAAATCAAGAGTCGGCTGCTTAACCAGCTGAGCCACCCAGGCGCCGTGGTTTTTGATTTTCTAAAACCCCACTAAAAATTGCCTGTTTTGGGGGTGCCTGGGTGGCTCAGTCGTTAAGCGTCTGCCTTCGGCTCAGGTCATGATCCCAGGGTCCTGGGATCGAGCCCCGCATTGGGCTCCCTGCTCGGCGGGAAGCCTGCTTCTCCCTCTCCCACTCCCCCTGCTTGTGTTCCCTCTCTCGCTGTGTCTCCCTCTGTCAAATAAATAAAATCTTAAAAAATAATTGCCCGTTTATCATTTAATTTTGTTCTGCCATTGACGAATGTATTTCTGTCTTGCACCCCCTTTAGCATCTCTCTCTGGGCTTTAAGCGTGACCCCTCGCCCCGCCACGCCCTCTGAAAATGTTGGTGCTCCTGGCTTTCATCATTGTCTTCCACATCACTTCCGCTGCTTTGCTGTTCGTCGCCACCATCGACAATGTAAGTCCCTTTTCCTTCTGACCATCCCACAACCCCTGCATCCTGCAGTCTATAGAAGCAGGATTGAGAACTTCCCCAAGGTGATTAGGATATTGGGTTGTCCTCCCTATGGAGACATCTTGGGTTAGGCCCAAGGACTCGGCCTATATGTGGAGGCTTGGAGGGCCCCATGGTTAGGTCTGGATGCGCAGGGACTTGGCTTCTCTCATCCCTGATTCCCCCACAGAGCCTGGTGTGGTACCTTGGGTGTAGAAAGCTCTTTGAGGATGCTGCTTGGATTCAACCCTCCTCTAGATAAATTTCTCAACCTCAGCACTGTGCCATTTGGGGCTGGATTATGCTTTGCTCTGGGGCCATCCTGTGCACTGTGGGAGGCTTAGCAGCATCTTTGGTCCCAGCCCACTAGATGGCAAGCACTCCTACTCCGACTTGTGACAACCAAAAATGTCTTTGGAGACGGCCAAATGTCCTGAGGGGGAGCAAAACCACCCTCAGTTGAGGACCACTGCCCAAGATCCCCCAGGTGACCCATCCCAGGTGCTGCCCCTCCTGCCTTTGCCTTCTTCTTATAAATCAGGAACCCAATTGATAGTCACCTCGCCATGCCCTCCCTAGCGACGGCCCATGCTCCCCTGAAAAACTGAACTTTTTACTTAAGTATCCAGTTTGCAGCCATATGGCAGGAATGCATTTGATAAATGACCTGTTGGTATAGATTAATATCTCTCCTGGCAGGAAATGAAGCTTTGTACCAGAGGTCCTCAATGGCCCCCACCTTGATCCAAAGGCCTGGCTTCAATCCTGATCATTTCAACCTCAGAGGCATTTAGAGTCAGGAACACTGCTCCAGAAGCCCCCGAGTACACCTCACGAGTGAGCACCATCTCTGCCTACATCTAGGACTCCTGTTGATAATCATCCCATAACAACATAGACCGTCACAACACCTGCCACTTAGGGAGAGCTCCTGGCCAGGTCCTAGGCCCTTTTATGTGCATCATCTCCTTTGGTTCTCAGCTCAAGCCTACGAGATCGGCCCTCTTCTGGCATGATGAGGGAACTGGGTTACTGATGAGGGAACTGGGCCTCAGGGCAATTTTGACACCTGTGGACTTTATGCAGCAGTAAGTGGCAGATGAGGGTTACTGATGAGGGAACTGGGCCTCAGGGCAATTTTGACACCTGTGGACTTTATGCAGCAGTAAGTGGCAGAACTGGGATCCGAACCACTCCCGACCCTAGATCCCGTAAGGGAGGTAAATGCAGTGATCCATTTGGGTTCCTGAAGGTTCTCGAAGTGAGTGGCCAGGGCAGAGATCACACTGATGCTGTGGCTTCAAGTATTTGGGGCTGTCATTATCCAGAGGACCCGCGCTCGGTGAAATAAATGGTAGTGAGTGTTCTTTCAGAGTCTCCTTTTTCTGTGCCTTGCGATTACCCCTAAGGGATCCTGAAAGGGTCCCAGAGAGGGTGAAAGGGACAGACAGACATTAGGGGCAGAAAAGCCATCAGCCCCAGCACCCGTTAATCCTTTGGGGTACCCCTGGGTGCTTGTGTTGTGCACTTACGAGAAGACACGGACCGGCCTTGTGTTTGCCCGTCAGGGAGCCAGAGGGTGTCCTTGTGAGTTAGGAATTGCGCCTGACATGTAGCCAGCACATGGTGGGAGTTCAATGAACGTCGGTTGCTGGAGGATGGGAGGGGGATATTCCTGTCTTTGGGTGGATAGGAAGGCAGAAGGAGGGCCCCCTGGGGGCAGGGAGCTGCAGAAGCCCAGAGAGGAAGCATGCGATTGGACTGAAAGCAGGAGAGTTTTTCTGATCATTCCCTCTGTACCAGGCCTTGCCCCTGGATTTCAGCCTCTCTCAGCCCCCTGACATCGCCCCTATAGTTGATGTGGATCTACCACCGTGCACGCTTGTGACCACCCATTGAGCCTTATCCGCGCTCCTACGCCCTGGGAAGGCCCGGTCCCCCGGCCCGTGTCTTACTTTTCAGCCACCCCACAGCATGGGTCTCCTGGGGGAGCCTGTTGGAAATGCAGAATCCCAGGCCCCACCCCAGACCTCTCAAATCAGAATCTGCATTTTAACCCGACTCCCCGGTGACTCGCATGCACGTAGCAGATGGAGAAGCGCTGGTCCCGAATATCGATTTACCACTGTGCTTCGCGCCTGAGTAGAAGTCAGTGTTTCCATGGTTAACCAAGAGCCCCTCCCTGTGTTTCTGTTTGTGTTTATAGGCCTGGTGGGTAGGAGAAGAGTTTTTTGCAGATGTCTGGAGAGTGTGTGTCAACAACACGAATTGCACAGAAATTGATGCGAACTTTCAGGGTGAGTGCCAAGCTGATACGGAACACCTCAGCTCAGGCTGAGGGCTCCCCTGTTCTCTGCTTTCATACCTGGAGGGGCCTGGCCGAGTGCTCAGTGCAAGCTGGAGACAGGAGGGGTGTGCAGAAACCAAGGGCTAGGGGTGCACACCCTTCCCCTCTCTGTTTCTGGGCCCAGCAGAGCTTCTGTGCCTCACAGGCGCTGGCAGATCTGGTGTCCTGTGAGGCCTCTCATCCTGCTTTGTGCACGGCCACCTTCTTCTTAGAGGGTGGAGGGCAGAGAGCAGAACCAGCTGCTGTGTCTCTTCATCTGGGCACTCATCCCATTCACGAGTTCTTCGCCCTCATGACCTGGTTACCCCCTAAAGGCCCCATGTCCCAATGCCATCCCGTTGGGGGTTAGGATTTCGATAATAGGGATTTGAAGGAGATGTAAGCGGTCCGCAGCAATCCATATTTGCACCATCACCTGGGGTGTTGAAAATACGGGTTCCTGGTGCCCGCCCCAGAACCACTGGGCTGTAATCTCAGGGGGAGAGGTCTAGGAGTCTGTTTTTTATTTTTTAGGAATCTGTATTTTCAACAAGCCCCCAGGTGATTTCTGAGATCGGGCAAATGTGCAGAACACCACTCTTAGCCAGAGGGTCACAACCTTGGCCCCACATTGGACTTGCCTGGGGAACCTTACCCCGCTCACCCCCATGCCTGATTCCAACACCAGAGATTCTGATTTATTTCCTCTCTGTGTAGCATGCTGGATTTTTATTTTTAACGGAGCTATAATTCACGAACAAGAAACTGCGTACTTCTTAAGGGCTCGGCTTAAAGAGTTTTGACAATTATATGTACGGCCACGTAACCACCATCCAAAGCAAGATAGAGAACTTCCCCATCACCCTAGAAAGTTCCCCTGGGCCCATTTCCACTTGTTTTCCGTGAGCCCTTTCCTGAGGGCAACCATTTCTGACTTCTGTCACCGTAGTCTGTTCTTGGACTTAATACAGATGGAGTCGTACAATGTGTATTTGTGTGTGTGGGGGCCGGGTTTCTTTCCTCAACATAAGGAATGGGGCGAGGGCCTAGGTGCTCTGTGGGTGACCCTCACGTGCAGCCAGGATGAACCAGGATCCGTTGCTCGAAGCATTTCAGGAAGTACTTAGGAATTACACTTCCCTCTGGCCCGTTTCAGGCAAACTTGGGGAAGAAGGAGAAGCTTCGTTCTTAGGTTTCCCTGTGCAACTTTGGCCACTGTCCCTGCACCTCTCTTAGCTGCGTCCTGGTGATAACATTCAGCCCTTACACGGGACTCCCCCTTTTTGCAGCACCCCCAAAATCCTTGAATGAATTCCTTGTACTTCCCCTGCCTATGTGGTGGGGAGGAGTCTCAGGTGAGGAGACTGAGAACCACGAAGGGGGCTCCAGTCTGTGCACTTGACCCCTTCTCTGTGCCTCTGTCATGTGGCTTCTGCTCTGTCCTTCCCGTGTGCAGCGCCCTCTGTCCCAGACTGGCTCCTTTCTCTGCTGAGACTTCCCTCTGCTGAGCCCCGCTCTCCAAGGCTAATCTGAGAAGCCTTGGCTTCTCTTTTCCTAAGTAGCAGTCACAAGGCTAACTGTCTTCTTTTCAGGAGGTATTAGGTAGTCCACAGAGCACTTTCTGAAGGTCACTCAGCCCCGTGAGCCCCAAATCCCCAAGAGTCCCTCTGGAGACCCCTAATCCTGACCCATCCATCCTGACCTTCCGAACCAGAATCTGCCAGGCTGGAACCTGAGGGTCTGTACTTATAAAAAAAAAAAAAAAAATTCCCCAACCATGAGCCATGCCTTTGGGGGCAATACCCAGACTGAGAAGAATGACAGAGCAGGTGGTTCTCACTCCATTTTCCAGAAAAGGACGGTGGGGACCATCTGGTCCAGTGCTCAGATGGACGCTGTGGGGGAGGGGATGTTGTGACCACCCCTTGGCTCTTCTTGTGCTCATACTGTGCAGACGTACTTCTGCCTCCTGTCGTCCCCACTCTGGACCTGTCCCTGTCACTGTGTCCCCCTGAGGGGCCCGGGGGTCTGCGGTCCTCAGTCACGCGCTCTCGTCCTCTCCCCACAGATTACCCCACGATGCAGGCGGTCCAGGCCACCATGATCCTGTCCACCATTCTCTGCTGCATTGCCTTCCTGATCTTCGTGCTCCAGCTCTTCCGCCTCAAGCAGGGAGAGAGGTTCGTGCTAACCTCCATCATCCAGCTCATGTCATGTAAGTACAAGGACGGGCTTCCTGGAATAAGCATTCCCTTCCCAGCCACCGCAAGTAGGAGCCAAGAGCAGTGCAGCGGGTGAGGATTTGGAAAGGAAAGCCAGCCGCCATGCTGTGGCAGGACATTTTCTACCTCAGAGTCTGGATTTAGTTAGAGGGTCAGGGCAGGCGTGCCGAAGACATGAAGCCTGAGCCAGGATCTGTAGGGTAAGTAGGAGTTGCCATCAAGAATGTGCTATCTTGGTAGGGAGGGAAGAGGCCCAGGGTCCCCAAGGAAGATCAGGGTACTTGACCTCATCCTGCCACTAACATCCGTTGGTGATTCACTCAGGATGCTTTTGACTTCAAGTAAGAGGAAAATCCAATTAACAATGACTTCAACCACAAAGACCTTTACTTTTCTGATACAACAAAGAGCTGGAAGGTGGAAGGTGCCATTGTTCGTTTGGCAGCTCAGCAGCATCAAGAACCTCCACTTGATCCTTTGATGATCTCATCTTCAGAGTGTCAGTGATGACCTCCTCACGGCCCCTAAAAGGCTGCTGCAGCTCCAGACATTCCTCCTGACATAACAGTATCTGAAACAATAAACAAGGGAAAGCACAGCAACAAAAAACGCTTCCTCCCCACCCCCATCTCTGTCTTTCCAGGGAGTAATATTTTTCACTGAAGGATTTTTCTGTGGCCAGAACTGGGACACATGTGGATCCATAAACTGTTATAAAGATTTTTTTTTTTTTTTTTTTTGACAGAGAGATAGTGAGAGCAGGAACACAAGCAGGGGGCGTGAGAGAGGGAGAAGCAGGCTTCCCGCCGAGCAGGGAGCCCGATGTGGGACTCGATCCCAGGACCCCGGGATCATGACCTGAGTCGAAGGCAGACGCTTAACGACTGAGCCACCCAGGCACCCCATAAACTATTATAAGTAAACAGGAACAGGATTGCCTGGAGGTGGGGGGTGGTTAGCAGAGTCTGGTCCATGGGCCAAATCTGGTTCACTGCCTTGTTTTGTAAATAGCATTTTACTAGAACATAGCCCCGCTCGCTCATTCGCATATTGCCTGTGGCTACGTCCACGCCGCCACCACCACGGCTGAGCTGAGTAGTTGGGACAGAGATTGTATGTGGTGCACAGACCCTAAACTGTTCTCTGTCTGGTTGACCCATGGCTTAGACCAGTTATGACTTAGCCCCTGGCCTGGATATCCAGCCACCCAAGCAAAATCGGGCTCAGCTAGCAACAAGCGGGAAGAGAAGCCATCCAGGTGGGCAGCCATGACCTGCCACGGAATATTAGCCGTGATCTTTCCCATGGACTAAAATAAATACCCGCCAATAATCAGAGCTTAAGTGTGTCTTCCCCTCCGGCCATGGTCCCCTCGGGCTGTGGCGCATGCTGTGACATGGTCTGTGATTTATTTATTTGCTTGCTTTCGGCAGGCCTGTGTGTCATGATCGCGGCTTCCATATATACGGACCGGCGTGAAGACCTTCACAGGAACAACCTGGGATTATATGCCCTGACCCTGGATGGCAGCTATGGCTACTCCTTCATCCTGGCGTGGGTGGCCTTCGCCTTCACCTTCATCAGCGGCCTCATGTACCTGATCTTGAGGAAGCGCAAATAGAACCCCGGGAGCTAGGTCGCTTTTGCTGCAGTACAAAATCCACATTCAGATAACCGTTTTGTATATAATCAATATTTTTGTGTGTGGTTTTTCTAGCAAACATATTGTTTCCTTTAAAAGCCAAAAAAAAAAAAAAAAAGAATGAGAGAGAGAGAAGAGTTTTTGCATTCTTGAGATCAGAGAAAGACTATGAAGGCTGGGATTCGGAACTCCTGCCCATCTGAAAGTCTCCAAGAGACAAAGCCCCAAATCCAGCAATGCTCAAATCCAAAAACATTCAACGGGATGTTTATTAACCGTGGGGATGTGATGTGATGTGAGAAGAGTCCAAGAACACCAGGTCTCGGGGGGCATCCTTCCTAGGTATGAGCCACACCGAGCCCCTCCCCCCCCAGCTCAGCCTCCCCTCCCCATTCTCTTTGTGTTAGGGTTGGAGGTGGGGTAGGGGTGAAGCCTCCTCAGATGTTTAGCCAAGTTCCATGTGAGAAACAGGTGTTGCCCCTGCTGTTGTGTCTACATCCAGACCAGAGCCCCGACCCTCCCGTAATGGGCTGGGTCGAGAAAGTGCCGCCCACCTTTGCCAACAATGTTACTTGCTTGCTTCCCTTGTTAGGGAAGGTGATCTTTAACCTGGGGTCGGATTTAGGCTCACCCTAAGGCAAAGAATCTCAGCATGCGATCCCCAGCAAACGTAGTAACAGGGGCCCTCCTTAGACCCACGGGATCAGAGTCTTCAGAGATGGGGCCTGGGCACCTGCATTTCTAACCAGCTCCTTGGTGACGCGTAGGTGCCCTGAAGCTGAGGACCGTGGCCCCAGGGCCATGTGAGCAGAACTGCCTAAAAAATCTCATCATGTTGAGATGGCGAGGTGCTGGCCGCTGCTGGCCTCCATCACCCCCGGCCTTCCCCGTCTCTCCCACAGCTGCTCACAGGTTGGCCTTCCCAGTAGCAGCCTGGGCCCCGCGTTCCCACAGCAAGACAGCCTAGGGGTGCTGCCTCCCTCCTCCTCTAAGTGGGAAGGCCCAGCCCTTCTCCTCCCGCCCTGTCTTCTAAGGTTGGCCGGCCTCCACTGACCCCCATTTCTAGAGCCTCAGCGGACCCAGCCACCATTCATTCAGCAGCATAAGTTGCAGAGGGCTTGGTGCACGCCCAGCACAGGGGATACTGTGCGGGGACAAGTCTCTCTTCTCTGGGGCTCACCATCCTGTGAGGGAGGCCGATGGAAAACTTAGGAAAAGTAATCACACACCATGAGGAAGGCAGCAGAGGACACAACCACGGGTTCGAAAGCGAGATGGGCTGAAATACCCCTCCTTTACTGGCGGTGTGGTCTGGGTTACCCCCAGAGGACACTTCTCTGGGGGGGGCCCGGGGTCCTGACTGCAAATGAAGCCGTGAGAAGCTTCCAGAGTGCCATGGCTCTCAAACTTCAGCGTGCGCACTGCCCCTCTGGGAACGTGCTTTGCCAGGGTCTGGGTGAAGAGCGCTCCCGGCGATCCGAGGCCGGCCTGCAGGATGCTGTGGGCAGTTTGCCCTTAGGGGTGGAAGCACTGCGAGCATGTGGCAAGGCAGGTGGCCCCGGGAAGGGCCTGCGGAGAAGCTCTCCGCACCTCGCTGTCTGTAGCCTTCCGTGTCTTGAGCGCGCTGCTGGGGCCGTGTGCTGAGGCTGCGTGTGGGACCTGCCCGCCCCGTCTCCGCACTGGTGCCATGTACGTGCTTCTGCACCTGACCTTCATCAGCTGGGGTCCCGTGGCGCTGGGAAGATGTCTGGTTTGAGTGATGTAGGGCCGCTACAGATACCAGGACAGGATTTGGTTTTCTCTCCATCCACTCATTCACTCATTCGTTCATTTTCAACAGACTATTCAGTGCTTACCATGTACCAGGCACCCCCCCGCCGCCCCGGTGGTGTGACCTGCGTCGGGGAGGAAACTGTCCAACTTTCTTACCTGTAGGTAGAACCAGCCCTCACTCGGTGCTTATTATCAGCTACTCAAGGACAACCCCAACACAGACACTTAGCTGAGACATCCAAGAAGCAAATATTAGGACCAAACGTGTTACTCGTAACAACTGTATTTGAAGGAACTGTAGTTTGCGCCTATTAGAACATTTTTATATAAAGTACTGTAATTCTTGCGTGGAGGGGCTATGGATGGAGACAGACTAACTTGTTTTGTTATTTGCATTAAAATTACTTTGGGTCTCTGTTCAGATGAGTTTGGAGGATTGATTTGTTGCTCTGAGTGAATGTGTATATTCAGACCTAAATACGGGAAAATCAGGGACGTTCCCTGTGGCGCCCCCCCCGACATTCTTTCTGCTGTAGGTTGTGTGTCTGTTCCCATCGGAGTCCTCGGATGCTCTGTATTTACCGATGATGAAGAAACCCCGACCCCGAGCCTGTAGGTACACACACTAAACACAGCAGCTAGAAGATCCACAGAAGCTGTGGCTTCGTTGAAAATCTGCCTGGGCAGGGAAATAGTTGCTAATAGTCGAAAAGTTACTTAACAATACGGCAGGTGAGACAGTTTTGTGTACTGGGGTGCAGTAGTTTTGGGGAAATGCAAGGCAAAGGTCTAGAGGCTAAATTTGGGAATCTTGGTTTGGGGACAAAATGTGATTTTAAGGGTGGTTAGATACGTTCTGTTTCATGTGCCTTTAAAGTAGTCCATTTGCTATATTTTATATAATGTGAAACTGTACGTGACAAATAAAGTTTGGAACCAAATCGCCCAGAGCAAGAGACTCTAGTGTTCCAACCGTGCCAACAGCCAGAGGAGAAACCACTGTTTCGAGTGACGGGGCGCCATGTGATTTCTCATCAAGATAATCATGTGCAGTCTTTACAGCAAGCAGCTGATATCTGACAATTCATCACAGGACAGCCTCCAACCCCCTCTGCCTCTCATGGAACCAGCTTCCTGGAAGAATGACCTGCAGGGGCTCAGGACCCCATGCTTGGTTAGTGATCTGCTAGTGCCATGTTAAAGTTCTTAATGGGAGCCAATAGCCTCACATTTTCTATTTGCAGTGGTTCCTGAAGACTATAGAGCCAGCCCTGTTCTCTAGTTTGATTAATAAAGACTTCTGCTTTACAGGGTTGGGTGATGATGAAAATCAGACTATCTTGACGGCACACTCTGCTGAAAAAATGAAAAATTCAGCCAGAAAGAAAGAAAGAGATGGTACATGGGTAGGTAGGTTGGTAGGTAGGTACCTGGATGGATGGATGAAGAGAGAGAGATCTTGAATTTTTACCTAAGGAATGCCAAAAGTAGTAAAAGCAATCTATTGGAGAACCTACATTCCCTTGTCTCTAGAAAGGAGTTGCAAACTAAAACCCCTCCAGGGGTTACTGTCTGTATTCTTTGTGTTTCTAGGGTATTTTGTGGTTGGTTTGGCTTGGTTTTTGGTCCACGTGGCAGGTAGATGGTGCTCACCCCAGAGAACTCAATTTTATAGATTTCTTCCATTTGGAAGAAAGCCAGTCATTCATTCATTCACCAAATCTTGGTGATCTAGCCTGATTCATCCCAGAGAACGCTCCATGTGTGCTTGAGAAGAATGCGTATTCTGCTGCTCTCGGAGGGAATGTTCTGTAGATGTCTGTCTGGTCCACTTGGTCTAAAGTCTAGTTCCAATCCATTGTGTCCTTATGGATTTTCTGCCTAGATGATCTATCCATTGCTGATGGTGGGGTACTGAAGTCTAGTACTATTACTGTATCCCTCCTTTTGGAACTGTTAATATTGCTTTATGTCTAGGTGCTCTGATGTTGCATTAATGATGATGCATTAATATTTATGGTAAAGGGGTCACTTCATCATGAGAATGTCATAAATATTTATTCACCAAGTATTAGTGTATGTATTATGGTATAAGTCTTGTGCTAGGTGTTAGGTACTTAGTCTCTGCCCTGGTCTAGACTTACCTTAGTCCCAATTGAAGAAAAAAAAAAGTGAAATGAGGAATACTTGGTGACACATGAAAATTACGTGAAATTCAAGTTTCAGTCCATAAATAAGGTTTTATTGGAACGCAGCCATGCCCTCTTGTCTAGATATGGTGCTGCCTGCCTTCCTGTCTCATTGTCAGAGTCCCCATAGAACACACACGGCCTGCAAAGCCCGTAATATTATCTGCCCCTGTTATAGGAAACGTTTGCCATCCCGTGGTCTAATCAAATGAGAAGGGAACTGTCTTTTTGTGTGTCTCTTTTTAGGAACAAGAAGATTTTTCCTAGAACCCTTTGGCAAACTCTTCCTGATGTCCCTGGCCTGAGTTTTCCAGTTTTCATGCTTAACCCAAACACTGGCAGAGGTAATTAAAATTACCACGCTTAGCATTGACCTCTTAGCTGGGCATCCAATTCCTTCAGTGAGGGATATACTTAGGAAGCACCCTCTTAGAAAAGAGAAGAGGCGACCAACAGCGTCTGCCCCAGTCCATCCCTGGGCTGCCCAACATCCACAGGCAACTCTATAAGAATTTTTAAGATTCTTATATATTCATGAAATGAACTAACCCCTTCCTAAGAAGTCCACAGCCTGAAGCCAAAACCAGTTAGTACTTCCAGCTCGGGGGTCATTTGGTAACATTGATTGTCCTCTTTATCAGGTCCAGATGTGGCTACTCATGGCCTGGCAACCTATGACGAAAAGCTAAGCCATATACTCCCAACGTACCCAATAGGTAACGGGGGGCAAGGAACAGGGTATCTATAATAAATGATCCTCTTTGGAAAATGGATGAGCAGAAGGAGAATCAACACCCAGTGGCCGAAGTTTCTAGAAGCAGCATAGCTGGGTGGTTCTGCCTTATGGTCTTTTGTGAGGTGAGCCTAATCTTTGAGCTTGAGAACTCCTGTCCCTTCATCTCATCGTTCTGTCTCTTGGGGCCCTAACTTCAAGCTGTCATAATCCCAGCTACGTCCCTGGGCTTGGTGGCCCTTTGTCTGGTGAAAAAGGCTAGGACCTGGCCTATCTTTTCTAGCTGTTCTCATCCATTCTGCTCGGCTTTCTGCCCCCACACCCCTGACCTGTAGTTTAGAACAGGGCTTAGCACACGACAGGCTCGCTGGCCAAAGGCCTGCTTTTTTATGGCCCAAGAGCTAAGGATGCTTTTTCGTTTTT